ACCAACATGGTGCTGACGCTCCTGAATCAGGTGCTGCTGCTCCCGGACTCTTCCTTCCTGGCTCTGCTGCCGGCGCTCTACCCCTGCGTCAGTCAGCTGACCTGTCACGTGACCGACGCTCGAGTCCGCCAGGCGCTCCGAGAGTGGATGGGCCGCGTCGGGAGACTCTACGACATCATCGTGTGACGACTGGGCGAAGACATGCAGACGGTTGAAGAGCGAAGTCTGTGAAGGACGTTCAGATTAAGAGTAGAATGAGGATCAATGCTGTCATGTGATGGCGCCGCTGATTGATGATTGGCTGACGTAATGGAAAGGTGAGGCATCAGAAAACAACTGTCTCTGATGTTTTCGTATGGATTTGTGGCACTTTGGAAGAACATCATGTGACTTTAAATGGGAGGTTTTGATTGGCAGATGAAGAACAGAGGATTCAGTTGCTTTGTTTATGATGGACAAGTTGTTTTTGTTGTTGTTGTTGTTTTAAAGGGAATGTGCCTCTTGTTATTTTGTTCCTGTACTGTGTCAAAAGCTTTAAATATGATTTGCTGTTCATCAGTTTTGAGGGAAACTGATTTGCAGAGTTGCTCATAATCTAATGACAGCATTGTCATGTTGTCCAAGGGGATAAATAATACATGAATGACATGAAGCTATTGTTACGGAAGAGGATTAGCACTACAAGATATTTAGAGATCTGACCAATAGGGTTTGTTTGTTTTAGTTCTGAGATTAAAATCTGAATTCTGAGAAAAAAAGTTGGAATTTTCAGAAAAAGTTAAGATTCTGAGAAACAAGTCGGAATATTGAAAAAAAGTATTTCCCCCCCAAAAAAAACGGAATTTTGAGAAATAGTCGGAATCTTTAAGAAAAATTCAGAAATCTGAAACAGTTAGAATTTTGATAAAAAGTCAGACTTTTTAGAACATTTTTAGAAAAGTCGTAATTCTGAAAAAAAGTGGAATTATTACTTTTCTCAGAATTCTGACCATTTCACTCTAAAATGAAATCTAAAAAATGTCACACGTGGCCCTCTTTCTCAACCACAAGTCCTGGTGTGGATGCAGACGTAAATGTGGACAAAAACAATGAATTATTTTCATTCTTACCTCCATTATTTTTCTTTTGACTGCAACAGTCAACTGAGTGACCCTGCTGATCAGCTGATCTCTGAGAAATGTCTTACATAGTGCCAGATCAGATGAAGGTCACAGAGTGAAAGCAAATTAAAAAATACTGTAATTGTATTTATTTGTTTATTTAATGCTGCACAACCAATCAGTCAGTCAGGCCACATTAAATACGCTGGAGAAACATGTCTTTGCATCTGATCTGATTGTATATTAACGTGTGTCGCTGCAATGCATTTTCTATATCCAGCTTTAAAAACTGTGCGCTGATCTCTTTGACAGAATGTTTATTGTTTGATCTCAAACTCTCTGAATCAAACCAAATCCCACATACAGTTTGTGTATTTTGAAAGCTTATGATTTACATGTGTGTATATAAATTATATGTATCCAGTTTAAATTATTTATTATTTAAGATATTTAAAGTGTGATTTTCTTTACTTCCACTTGATGCAGTGTGTGTGCATGTGCTTACTGATTGACATGAACAAGGTACGATGGAAGTGTGACCAACTACCAACTATTGTTAAAATGCCAAAAAGAGCGATCACATGACGTTACATCTAAATACAAACCTGTCTGTAATCCGAGGCAAAGAAGCAGCTTTTACACACATTTTAAAGTGTTTATTTTGGGTCAATTGCCTTTCCAATATCAAGTCAAAACGTTCCAATTGTATTCATAATATTTCCACATTTAAGGCGAGCACATTTCCCTGAAAACAGATCCTTGCTCCACAGAGGATACACCCTTCAGATTCCAATGACCATCTGCCTCACTGAAGATCTCATACTGTATGTAATCTGCTAGGTTGTACGCTTGTATATTTATAATTAAAACGCCACTAAAATCACAGTAAGACAGTTATGACGTGTGTTTGGACAATGCAAGTGTTATTAATCCCTGTACATCTCAGAATGGTTACCAAACAGAGATTAGGTTACGCCCTGTAGCGGTAGAATCTGTACAAACTGATTTATGCCACTGTGCTTTTTACAAGAGATTATGACTGAATGGAAGTAGAGAGGGTTGAACTGATGCTAACTTCAGGAGGGAGGAGGGGAAACAAGCTCCTCACAAGGTTTACTCTCCTTTTTCACTCAGTTTGTCATCATCTAAACGCTTTGTCTCTTTTGTTTTGCTCTCCTTTCAACCAGCAGGAGAGGACTCTTTAAAGTAGAGACACTACATACTGATATACACCTGAACATCAGCAGGAGAGGACTCTTTAAAGTAGAGACACTACATACTGATATACACCTGAACATCAGCAGGAGAGGACTCTTTAAAGTAGAGACACTACATACTGATATACACCTGAACATCAGCAGGAGAGGACTCTTTAAAGTAGAGACACTACATACTGATATACGTAGTGAGGCGTGTGGCGCAGTGGACTAGTGCGTTGGTGTTGGGATCAGGGGGTCACAGGTTCAAACCCCACTGCAGTCAGCATGTCGTTGTGTCCCTGAGACACTTCACCCCAAATTGCTCCTGTGGGGATTGTCCACAGTATTGAGTATGTAAGTCGCTTTGGATAAAAGTATCTAACAAGTAACATGTAATGTAATATACACCTGAAAATGAGTAGAATATGTCCTATATGGTGAAGGGTTGTCAAACTTTGGAAATGCATCTCGCACATTTCCTCCCTGATAGTCATCATTTCTACATTGAATAGTACATCATGCGTCCCTGACCCGTCCCCAAGTGTCCTATTTATTGCTGTTGATGGCGAGCAGCAGTGGACAGATGTTGTCAGTGTGATCAGCAGCAGAGAGGAGGATTTATTCCGTGTTAAGTCCCTGACAGCATCTATAAATACAAACGGCAGAGTAATGCGTCGCCATCCTGCAGCAACAGTTCCCTCCGTCATTCCGACATGTTAAAGGAGGCACTTCTACTACTAACATACAGTTGACATACATATTGCAGAGATTAGAATAAGATGCAGAGGTTGTGGCGTGCTGGACATCACACGCACACACTTCATCTGCATTATAAGCAGATTTAAAGCACTCGTTCATGTCATTCAATTCTGAGGAGAAATCCGTCCATTGTTGCATCACCAGTAAAGATTTGTATCACAAAGTCAAAGCTCTTTTTGCTTTCTGAATCATCAATGTTAAAGCTCATCTTCTGTCCTTTTGCCGGGAAAAAGTAATCGCATTTCTTTGCATGATTTACAGTCAAATCAACAACAACAGCTCTGTTGTGAAATGATGGGATTACGGCGACAGATTGAAGACAGACTGTTAGAGAAGCTAGTTTAAGTGTTTTCATAAAAGATGTTATTTCTGTGCAATATAATATATGAAGGAGGAAGCCAAAATAAAAATCAGAACTAGACGAAAAAATGCTAAATATACAATCAGGCAAATCTTTTTTTAGGCACTCAAGTTCTGAAATGTTCCTTACAGAAACAGCTTGCTTTGATTTGGTTTATTTCTGGTTTAAACTCAATATTTCCAAGCGTAAAGAAGAATGGAAAGTCAGGTTTTAAGAGAGTTCAGAAGACCACATGTTGATGAAATTCCTGCAATTTAGTGTTGGTTTCTCCACCGAGCATTGCTGCTGCTGTGACAAAGCAAACTGTTTTTTCAATTTACGTTTAGAGATGAGCAAAATGACATTCATTGGCACGGATGGTCTAACCAATGCTCCATTGAGTTGCATTGTGGGAAGTGTAGCATTAGCTTTTTGGTATGAGTCGAGCTCCAAAACCACCGTTAGTCAGGATATCTCTGATCTCTGACTTGTTTTGATTTTGACAATGTGTCTCCCATCAGTCTGCCAACTTTACCACTTACCAAATCCCTTGAAGCATGAACTGCTTATATCAGAATATTGTGCAAAACAAATAGTTGAAGTCACCAATAATTCGCTACGCCCGTTTAACTGAACTCTAATCAAACATGTGTGAGATACAAAATGGGAATAGCTGTCAATAAATCATTTTGGTTAGTGCATTGAAGTTACTACATGGCCCACTACCAACTGGTTTCCAGGTAAAGCAATAGAGAGGGTCGGGTTGGATTTTATGCTTCTGCATTGCTGAGCTTCTTTTCTTTTTTAACTGCACCTGTGTTAATTAGCCAGAACAACTGGATCTGTATCTCTGCCTCCTGAAACTCTGGCCCAGACGTCCAAGATTGTTTCCCCTAAATTCATTCAGTGTAACTTATTCACTCCAAAGACAAGATGTGTGTGTTGTGTGTGTGTGTTGTGTGTGTGTGTGTGTGTGTGTGTGTGTGTGTGTGTGTGTCGTGTGTGTGTGTGTGTGTGTGTGTGTGTGTGTGTGTGTGTGTGTGTGTGTGTGTGTGTGTGTGTGTGTGTGTGTGTGTGTGTGTGTGTGTGTGTGTGTGTGTGTGTGTGTGTGTGTGTGTGTGTGTGTGTGTGTGTGTGTGTGTGTGGAACAGTATCACATTGTCTGTGACTCACTCCCAGCAGTAGAGGAAAGTGTTTTTTAAGGCTGTTTTTTGGAACGGCACCACTGTAAAAAGTGTAAGATATTTCCACATGTATCCCTGCATGAATGTGCAGACGTTCCTGACGTGAACGCAGCTTTTCTGCACACTCACTCGGGTGTTTTGTTTGAATGTTTGCTTCCTCCTCTGACCCTGAATGCCTCGCTGTTGGACCGGTCAACTAATGTCGTGGCTGTGATTTATAAAAGTGTATCTTATTTTCTGCTTTTGATATGAAAGTAAAGCTCCTGTAATAATCTCTCCTGCTCTGCCTGTGCCTGTCTCTCCGTGTTGTACAATAAAATATGTTATCTCACATGTTTGTCGTCATGTTTCACAGCTACAACTAAAACATGTGTAAACACCTCCTCATGCTGCTTGAGTTCTGCTAAATGTTGTTAAAGTTAGAGAATGATTTAGAGCTGCATGTTTCAACATGTTTAAATCCTGCAGTGATAGTGTCTCATGTTGTCATAACAACCCTCTGGTGTTTGTTTTCTTTCAAATTAAATCAAAAAGTGTTGACTGATGATGATATGACTGCATGTCTATCAGCATTTGGAAAAGCGCTATAAAAATTCAATATATTATTATTATTATGACATAGTCCCTTGATCCTCCATTCTGCTGTCCTTAGCAACGGCCTGCTCTCCTTAGCAACGGTCTCCTCTCCTTAGCAACGGTCTGCTCTCTTTACCAACGGTCTGCTCTCCTTACCAACTGTCTGCTCTCCTTAGCAACGGTCTCCTCTCCTTAGCAACGGTCTGCTCTCCTTAGCGACGGTCTGCTCTCCTTACCAACGGTCTGCTCTCCTAAGCGACGATCTCCTCTCCTTAGCAACGGTCTGCGGTCTGCTCTCCTTAGCAACGGTCTGCTCTCCTTAGCAACGGTCTGCTCTCCTTAGCAATGGTCCTCCTCTCCTTAGCAACGGTCTGCTCTCCTTAGCGACAGTCTGCTCTCCTTACCAACGGTCTGCTCTCCTAAGCGACGATCTCCTCTCCTTAGCAACGGACTGCGGTATGCTCTCCTTAGCAACGGTCTCCTCTCCTTAGCAACGGTCTGCTCTCTTTACCAACGGTCTGCTCTCCTTACCAACTGTCTGCTCTCCTTAGCAACCGGTCTCCTCTCCTTAGCAACGGTCTGCTCTCCTTAGCGACGGTCTGCTCTCCTTACCAACGGTCTGCTCTCCTAAGCGACGATCTCCTCTCCTTAGCAACGGTCTGCGGTCTGCTCTCCTTAGCAACGGTCTGCTCTCCTTAGCAACGATCTGCTCTCCTTAGCAATGGTCTCCTCTCCTTAGCAACGGTCTGCTCTCCTTAGCGACAGTCTGCTCTCCTTACCAACGGTCTGCTCTCCTAAGCGACGATCTCCTCTCCTTAGCAACGGACTGCGGTATGCTCTCCTTAGCAACGGTCTCCTCTCCTTAGCAACGGTCTGCTCTCTTTACCAACGGTCTGCTCTCCTTACCAACTGTCTGCTCTCCTTAGCAACGGTCCTCCTCTCCTTAGCAACGGTCTGCTCTCCTTAGCGACGGTCTGCTCTCCTTACCAACGGTCTGCTCTCCTAAGCGACGATCTCCTCTCCTTAGCAACGGTCTGCGGTCTGCTCTCCTTAGCAACGGTCTGCTCTCCTTAGCAACGATCTGCTCTCCTTAGCAATGGTCTCCTCTCCTTAGCAACGGTCTGCTCTCCTTAGCGACAGTCTGCTCTCCTTACCAACGGTCTGCTCTCCTAAGCGACGATCTCCTCTCCTTAGCAACGGACTGCGGTATGCTCTCCTTAGCAACGGTCTCCTCTCCTTAGCAACGGTCTGCTCTCCTTAGCGACGGTCTGCTCTCCTTACCAACGGTCTGCTCTCCTAAGCGACGATCTCCTTTCCTTAGCAACGGACTGCGGTATGCTCTCCTTAGCAACGGTCTCCTCTCCTTAGCAACGGTCTGCTCTCCTTAGCAACGATCTCCTCTCCTTAGCAACGGACTGCGGTATGCTCTCCTTAGCAACGGTCTCCTCTCCTTAGCAACGGTCTCCTCTCCTTAGCAACGGTCTGCTCTCCTTAGCTGTTACGGAAAATGAACAGACCTCTGGAATGTACAATGTGACCAATCCCAATCAAGTATTCTAAGCAGTGCAATAACAAGAAGTGAAATATGATTCAATGCCATGGAGGAATATTTTACTGTTGCTCAAGTCTGAATTTAAATGACCACCAACACTAATGCAGACGTTTGCTTTAACAACAGATAAAAGGTTGCGTAAACCTATAAAACGAGTCAGATTCCTATTCAATTGTATATTTAATCTCAGACTGAAGAGACTTGAGGGCTTAATATTATTGAAAAATGCATTTATGTCTGGAAAATAAAAAGTGAGAGCATTTCTTTTTTACAAAGTTTGAGGTTTC